ACCTCACTGTGTACCGTACATACGTATATACCTACACCGGGTACCGTACAGACTTGTTTACCTACACCATGTACCGTACAGACGCATATACCTACACCATGTCCCGTACAGACGTATATGCCTACACCATGTACCGTACAGACGTATATACCTACATCGTGTACCGTACAAAGGTGTATACCTACACCGTGTACCGTACAAACTTGTTTACCTACACCGTGTAACGTACAGACGTGTATACCTACACCGTGTATCGTACATACGTATATACCTACACCGTGTACCGTACATACGTATATACCTACACCGTCCTACACCGTGTACCGTACTCACGTATATACCTACACCGTGTACCGTACTGACGTGTATACCTAACTGTGTACCGTACAACACCATGTACCGTACAGACGTATATACCTACACCATGTCCCGTGCAGACGTATATACCTACACCATGTACCGTACATACGTATATACCTACACCGTGTACCGTACAGACTTGTTTACCTACACCGTGTACCGTACAGACTTGTTTACCTAAACCGTGTACCGTACAGACTTGTTTACCTACACCGTGTAACGTACAGACGTGTATACCTACACCGTGTACCGTACATACGTATATACGTACACCGTGTACCGTACAGACTTGTTTACCGACACCGTGTACCGTACATACGTATGTACCTACACCGTGTACAATACAGACGTGTATAGATATAGTATACCGTAGAGACTTGTTTACCAACACCGTGTACCGTACATACGTATGTACCTACACCGTGTACAATACAGACGTGTATAGATATAGTATACCGTAGAGACTTGTTTACCTACACCGTGTACCGTACATACGTATATACCTACACCGTGTTTCGCACAGACTTGTTTACCTACACCGTGTACCGTACATACTTGTTTACCTACATCGTGTACCGTTCAGACGTGTATAGATAACGTATACCGTAGAGACTTGTTTACCTACACCGTGTACCGTACAGACGTATTTACCTACATCGTGTACCGTACATACGTAAATACCTACACCGTGTACCGTACAGACTTGTTTACCTACACCATGTACCGTACAGACGTATATACCTACACCGTGTACCGTACAGATGTATTTACCTACATCGTGTACCGTACATACGTATATACCTACACCATGTACCGTACAGACGTGTATACCTAACTGTGTACCGTAAATACGTATATACATACACCGTGTACCGTACAGACTTGTTTACCTACACCATGTACCGTACAGACGTATATACCTACACCGTGTACCGTACAGATGTATTTACCTACATCGTGTACCGTACATACGTAAATACCTACACCGTGTACCGTACAGACGTATATACCTACACCGTGTACCGTACAGACTTGTATAGCTTCACCGTGTGTCGTACAGACTTGTTTACCTACAACATGTATCGTACAGACTTGTATAGCTACACTGTGTACCGTACATACTTGTTTATCTACACCGTGTACTGTACTGACGTGTATAGATAACGTATACCGTAGGGACTTGTATATCTAACTGTGTACCGTACATACGTATATACCTACACCGTGTACCGTACATACGTATATCCCTACACCGTGTACCGTACAGGCTTGTTTACCTAAACCGTGTACCGTACATACTTGTTTACCTACACCGTTTAACGTACAGACGTGTATACCTACACCATGTACCGTACAAACGTATATACCTACACCGTGTACCGAACAGACGTATATACCTACACCGTGTACCTTACAGACTTGTTTGCCTACGTTTACCTACACCGTGTACCGTACAGACAGATATACCTACACCGTGTACCGAACAGACGTATATACCTACACCGTGTACCGTACAGACGTGTTTACCTACACCATGTACCGTACATACGTATATACCTACACCATGTACCGTTCAGACGTATATACCTACACCATGTACCGTACAGACGTATATACCTACACCATGTACCGTATAGACGTATATACCTACACCGAATACCGAACTTACGTATATACCTACATCGTGTACCGTATATACGTATATACCTACACCGTGAACCGTACAGACGTGTATACCTACACCGTGTACCGTACGGACGTGTATACCTACATCGTGTACCGTACAGACGTGTATAGCTACACCATGTACCATACAGACTTGTTTGCCTACACCGTGTACCGTACAGACGTGTATACCTAACTGTGTACCGTAACTTGTTTACCTACACCGTGTACCTTACAGACGTATATACCTACACCATGTACCGTACATACGTATATACCTAGACCGTGTACTGTACAGACGTATATACCTACACCATGTACCGTTCAGACGTATATACCTACACCATGTACCGTATAGACGTATATACCTACACCGAATACCGAACTTACGTATATACCTACATCGTGTACCGTATATACGTATATACCTACACCGTGAACCGTACAGACGTGTATACCTACGCCGTGTACCGTACGGACGTGTATACATACATCGTGTACCGTACAGACGTGTATACCTTCACCGTGTACCGTACAGACTTGTATAGCTTCACCGTGTGTCGTACAGACTTGTTTACCTACAACATGTACCGTACAGACTTGTATAGCTACACTGTGTACCGTACATACTTGTTTATCTACACCGTGTACTGTAATGACGTGTATAGATAACGTTTACCGTAGGGACTTGTATATCTAACTGTGTACCGTACAAACGTATATACCTACACCGTGTACCGTACAGACGTGTATACCTACACCGTATACCGTACATACGTATATACCTGCACCGTGTACCGTACAGACTTGTATAGCTACACTGTGTACCGTACATACTTGTTTATCTACACCGTGTACTGTAATGACGTGTATAGTTAACGTTTACCGTAGGGACTTGTATGTCTAACTGTGTACCGTACAACCGTATATACCTACACCGTGTTTCGCACAGACTTGTTTACCTACAACGTGTACCGTACAGACTTGTATACCTACACCGTGTACCGTCCAGACGTATATACCTACACAATGTAGCGTACAGACGTATATACCTACACCGTGTACCGTACAGACGTGTTTACCTACACCGTGTACCGTTCAGACGTATATACCTACACCATGTACCGTACATACGTATATACCTACACCGTGTACCGTACAGACGTGTATACCTACACCGTGTACCGTACAGACGTATATACCTACACCATGTACCGTACAGACGTATATACCTACACTATGTACCGTAGAGACGTATATACCTACACCGAATACCGTACTTACGTATATACCTACATCGTGTACCGTACATACGTATATACCTACACCGTGTACCGTACAGACGTGTATACCTACACCGTGTACCGTACAGACGTGTATACCTACATCGTGTACCGTAGATACGTGTATAGCTACACCATGTACCATACAGACTTGTTTGCCTACACCGTGTACCGTACAGACGTATATACCTACACAGTGAACCGTACAGACGTATATACCTACACAGTGTACCGTACAGACGTGTATACCTACACAGTGTACCGTACAGACGTATATACCTACACCGTGTACCGTACAGACGTATATACCTACACCGTGTACCGTACAGACGTATATACCTACACAGTGAACCGTACAGACGTATATACCTACACAGTGTACCGTGCAGACGTATATACCTACACAGTGTACCGTACAGACTTGTTTGCCTACATCGTGTACCGTACAGACGTGTATACCTACACCGTGTACCGTACATACGTATATACCTACGTATATACCTACATCGTGTACCGTACAGACGTGTATCCCTACACCGTGTACCGTACAGACGTGTATACCTACATCGTGTACCGTACAGACGTGTATCCCTACACCGTGTACCGTACAGACGTGTATACCTACACCGTGTACCGTACATACGTATATACCTACACCGTGTACCGTACAGACTTGTATACCTACACCGTGTACCGTACAGACGTGTATACCTACATCGTGTACCGTACAGACGTGTATAGCTACACCATGTACCATACAGACTTGTTTACCTACACCGTGTACCGTACATACGTATATACCTACACCGTGTATCGTACAGACGTGTTAACCTACATCGTGTACCGTACAGACGTGTTAACCTACATCGTGTAACATATGTACAGACGTGTATATCTACACCCTGTATAATACTGACGTGTCGTACGTCTAATCGTCCCAGTGTTATACGTCTGACCGTCTTCGTGCTGTAGGTCCGTCCGTCCCAATGTCATACTTATAATCGTCATCGTGTAGAACGCCTAACCGTTCCGTGTTGTACGTCTGATCGTCCTTCATTGTGTCGTACAAGAAGATATGTTTTCCTCTTATCATATGTCTGATCGTCCCGATGTCGTATGTCTGATCGTCCCACTGTCCTAGGTCTGCTCGTCCCAATTTCCTGGGTCTGCTCGACCCGACGTCGTATGTCTGATTGTCCCAATGTCCTAGGTCTGATCGTCCCAATGTCCTAGGTCTGCTCGTCCCGATGTCGTATGTCTGATCGTCCCAATGTCCTAGGTCTGATCGTCCCAATGTCCTAGGTCTGCTCGTCCCAATGTCCTAGGTCTGCTCGTCCCGATGTCGTATGTCTGATCGTCCCGATGTCGTATGTCTGATCGTCCCAATGTCCTAGGTCTGCTCGTCCCAATGTCCTAGGTCTGCTCGTCCCAATGTCCTAGGTCTGCTCGTCCCGATGTCGTATGTCTGATCGTCCCGATGTCGTATGTCTGATCGTCCCAATGTCCTAGGTCTGCTCGTCCCGTTGACATAGTCAGATCGTCCCAGTGTCGTGTCCAATAACTAAGACCTTGCATTCCACAGTTCAAGATGTCAACCATGACGTATACTTGTGTACAAGTCGTCTCCCTGCAGAGTAGCGGAAATTATGTCTGACGTAAATAATTGTAGCACAGAGTCATCCTCAAGTGTCCCATGAGGCCTGGTATGAACTCCAATGCTAACACATCTAATCAAAGAAAAGTAGTAACAAACTATGTGATTTTGGAAGTAGTTCCGGTGACAATCGAATACTCTTAAAAAATCATGAATGGCATTGAAGAGGTCGATCACGCGCGGAAGATCGGCGTACCACCAGGGTCCAGCGCCTGGAAAGTCATCACAGAGGTATTCCTTGTTACTAATTATAGCCCACTCCTATGGGAAGTGTCGGACACTTGTTAAACTGCTTACTTGTTAACTTCTCACGGTGTAAACAGTAACCACAGACCTGAGTGGGACGCCAGACATTTGTGGGCAAATATCCTAGCTCCTCCAAGTACAGTTCAGGTCAAGGATAAGGTGAGTCAGACAAGTAGAGTTCAGACTGGCCAGTATCCACCGATCACGGCACGTAACGGTCGCAGAAATGCAATGTTTATGGAGATACCACAAGATTGCTTTTATGGAGATACCATAAGATTACTTTTATGGAGATACCATAAGATTGCTTTTATGGAGATACCATAAGATTACTTTTAAATTATGCAACAATTTTGTCAACATACAAGTGATTACTCCTAACTAGCGCATAATTAATTTCCAGTAGTGAATATTTTGTTTTAAGGAGGCATTTTTTTAAGGAGATGGTTTCTTGTTTTCAGGAGAGGATTTTTTGTACCGTCACTCCACTGTATCGCCATTTTCTTTCCTGTATTGCCCGTCTTTGTTGCCTTGAAAAATAAATCAAAATGCCAACACTAGATATCAACATGAGCTCGTTTTTGCAGACGAATACCACAAATGAGTAGGCATGGCAAAATGAAAAGTAGGTCATAGTAGTTCGAATGCAGCGGAAACGAGATGGTCAAGTTGTAGAAGTAAATACATAATACATACGAAGTAGATCTAGACCAAACATTGTAATATCGGAAAACGCTAATTTCATACGAAGTTTTCACGTTTAATAAGCTGACGTTTGTTTTAATTTTCGTTTTGCCGTTTCATCTGTGCTGGATGCGATCTGCTAACAATGTTGATCTGACAATGTCATACAAATCTTGCGCATTTGAACCATTACCCCGGTTTCTGCTTCGCTAACCTTATTAGATCAGAAAGTGCTGAACAACTATCTGGTATGAGCCAGGATAGTAATGAGTTGTTATGGTTCATAATATACCAAGTATGTGAGGTTAAATGGCATTTGTGACGTGATGTTATGGATTGATTATACAAGGACACTTTGTTGTGATGTCATGGTTTATAAAAGGAAGACTTTGTTGTGATGTCATGGTTTATACGAGGAACACTTTGTTGTGATGTCATGGTTTATAAAAGGAACACTTTGTTGTGATGTCATGGTTTATAAAAGGAACACTTTGTTGTGATGTCATGGTTTATACAAGGAACACTTTGTTGTGATGTCATGGTCTATACAAGGAACACTTTGTTGTGATGTCATGGTTTATACATGAACACTTTGTCATTATACCATGGTTTTATACATGAACACTTTGTCATTATACCATGGTTTTATACATGAACACTTTGTCATTATACCATGGTCTATATAGATGATATGTTGTCCTGAGACTATCGCCAATACCGGGAACACTTTGTCTTGAAGCTATATTCTGTGCTAGGTATACATCGGGATGTCATGGTCTATACAAGGAACACTTTGTTGTGATGTCAAAGTTTATACAAGGAACACATTATTGTGATGTCATGGTTTATACAAGGAACACATTATTGTGGTGTCATGGTTTATACAAGGAACACTTTGTTGTGATGTCATGGTTTATACATGAACACTTTGTCATTATATCATGGTCTATATAGATGATATGTTGTCCTGAGACTATCGCCAATACCGGGAACACTTTGTCTTGAAGCTAGGTATACATCGGGATGTCATGGTCTACACATGAAACTATTTGTAGTGATTACATAATAAATACAGGCAACACGACAATGGGATGACATGTATATGGGGGACATATTGTTATTATACCATGGTTTATAAAGTGCATACGTTGGCATGTTGTCTTGGTCTATAAAGGGAAACTTTCTTGTGATGTCTTACGTCTATTTAACGTGATGCCATAGTCTACGTACGGAAACTTAACCGTGATACCAAGGTCTATGGCAGGGAATACTTTGTCGAAATTGGTGATTTAAATTGTGATTTAGTGATGTCTGTTCGTGGAACACCTTTTTGCAATGGTGTCCCAAAACTATACGACTCATAATCTGAATGCATGTCGTGGTGCAAGGTGGGTAACTCAATTACTGAGAAGTTAATGTATCGATCGTCTTGATGTAAGGGAGGCAACCCAGAGCTGCTACGTATCGTCTTATGGAACATATAAAATCGATGTGCAATCTATTTGATAAAACTTATGTCGGCATGTCACGATAATAATAATGACTTGTGAAGTAAAATATGCGTGATAATCTAACTTGACTGGTCGTCATAAATTATATCGACATTTCGAAATAAATTTCTTTAAATCTCAGGCGAGTTAAAAAAAAAAATCATAACGTTTTCTTTTACGTACATCATTCAAAACAAAACACGAAAAAACAGCATGGTATATACACGGTAGATATAGAGAAAATTGAGATTCTTTGAAATCCGATATACGTTCTGTTAGTTAATTGCTCCTAATTGCTTCATAAAGATATTTTCTAAGAAAAGTTCATTCTCTTTTTAACTCTTAGAAATAAATAGAGATGGATTTGTCTAGTACTTACTCTTATATACTTTCTCTTCAAAGTTCTTTGCGTATTATAAAGTCATCTCCGTCTTCAATATCTAGTCTAGAGGCCTATATCAACATAGCGTGGTAATGTGGTATCATCTATCAAATGTTGATAAATAGGACAGTAAGATAATATTTCCAACAAATACAAACCGCTGCCTTACAACTGGTATATCCCGAGTGACACCTGGTTAATGGAGGAGAAATAACGTATCGTGTTTCCCTACCACATGGACAATATAAACATATTATTATGGCGAGATAAAACAATAACACTATAGTCAAGATAATCAGGTCGATACGCCAGTTTTCAGTCAATCGGAACTCAGTTGTTGTGTCTTTTGCAAATATTACTAGAGAAGCTCCGAATAAGGGAAATATGACCAATGAAACTCGAGTGCGTGAGGACGAGATGATGTTTTATTGCCCTGTCATGTGCTCAGCATAATTCAAAGAGGTATAATAAAATATGCTAGTGGGTTTGTGCACATATGATAATACAAAAACTCTTTTATGTCCAAAATTCAAATGAAAAAATGAGTTACCCAGCTAAAACTATCACCTGTGTTATTATTCTAATTATACCATGGGATTGGATGTTTTCTCTTTTTCTTTAACTGAAGGTATATGTATTCCCACAAAAAAATCAGTTATACATTTTCGATGTCAACTCTCCATACAACTCACCCCTAACACAAATGACTGACAAATAAAACATATAAAATTACTGATTGCAATAATAAATTATGTATCTGTGTATTTTTATATATCTTAAACTTTTCGTATTTTGAAATCTATATAAAACAAACAAATGGACGATTTTTTTTTGCTTTGCCCCCTTTCGTTACTGTACTTGAAAAACTCGGGATGTTGGTGCACTGACGTCTCTAACAGAGTCAGGAGATGGTTCGAGGTTTGGCGTTGCATGCCATATTTTCTCACTTTTAATCCGGTACAACACTCCTCAGGAAATCAAAGCACACACAACAAGACAGGATTTAAAAGAAATCAGAAACTATACTAAACTACATCTGTAAACTTCCTAAACATTTTCTTTGGGTTGGTAAAAGTATGGATTATGAAAAGTTATTTTTAAACAACCAATACAATTATCTATGTGACGTTTCGATGACTAGTACGATATGTACACTACCACCTTCATTAGACGACCGGCAGTGAAGCGGTGTAAAATGTGTACGAGTTGTCCACAAAATCGATGTCGATTCGGCTATGCTGTAAGCTTATGTATAATAGTTGTTATATATGTACCGAAATGACTCGATTCAGCTACGCTTTGTTAAATACTTGGTTCATTGATTGTAACACCGTTGTAAGCGTCAGTCGCTTCTTGAGGTAAATAATTGGTCAAAGATGTGCGAGAGTCTTTGAGCCCCCTCGTTTCGATTTAGAACTGCCCCTCTGCGGTGTATCCAGATGGCTTCCTTTGTCTGGCGCTTGAACAGATTGCTCTATCTGTCCAAAACTTTGGAGTTATCCCCGTCAATCACATGATTTGTCTGTGTGGCATGATCTGTGATTGCCGATTTATTTATCTGGGACTCCGACTGCTTTCTTTCTGATCTGGTGAATTTTATTTCCGGTGTTCACCAAGGCGGACCCAAAATCGCCTTCCAGTCTCTCCAATATACGAAGCGTCGCAGTCTGCGACGTTTTCTTTAAAGTTAGGTGTTTTATCCTTAGGGTGTACTAGGATATTACGAAGCGTCTTGTGGGGCTTCATAGCTGCTATGTCATGACCGCGATATATCCTCTGGATGGTTTCGGATATACCCTTTATATACGGGATGACCACTTGACCTTTGGTTTTGTTCTTATCCTGACCTTGATTGGCCTTTTTCTGACATCGATTTTGTGGACAACTCGCACACATTTTACACCTATGTGTGCATATGCTTCACTGGTCATTTGTCTGATGAAGGTGGCAGTGTACAATGTACTAGTCATCGAAACTTCACATAGACAATTTTATAGGTTGTGTAAAAAGAACTTTTCATAACACCTCTGTAAACGTTTCGTTTTCCCGTATTTTCCTTTTCCGCATATAATTTCCATTATCCGTTCCGTGTTTCTGTAATTTAGTAACGACCTAAACATTTACGTGACTCTGAGTATCCACGCATACTTCCGCTTCCAACACGGCAGGATTCGGATGGGAAAAACAACACAACACTTAATATTCCCTATACAATGGACGCAACAGAAGATGTTACTCTCAACTTTGGCGACGAAGATGAAATAGACAGGAGACGACTCTTAAAGTGTGTTATAGCATTACCCCAGTCAGACATTTGACATAACTAATCTTCATGTACCGATACCATCAGTTTACTTATAGTATAAGCCAGTTTATGTGCTTTTTATTGCGCATCGTTATGCAGATGCCGTGGGCATGTTGACAAAATTGTTTTTGTAGCGAATGTAAACACTGCTGACTGTGTCTCTGAACAGTATTCAAGAAATGCGGCAAAAGTTCGCAGTTTTATTTTCATAAAAGAACCTTTTCACATTGGAAGTGTACATTTTCGATTTGTTTCATGTTTGCCATAACTTCTTACCAGAAATCATGTGACTGTCACTTTTTGAGTTGATCTATTCTACGACCTCCGCCAAAGCTGATATTCTTATTATTTAGTTATATATACTCAAGTTTCCTGAAATTTGCTAAGGCCTGCAGTAAATGTAAGAATCTTATGCATAACATATTGTTGCCATTTTAGAAGGCTTTTATTTTCTTATGCTGGTTAAAAGAATGAAAATGATTTCCTAAGCTCATTCCCTTTCCTCGATACATTTCCTAAATTTTGGAATGTAGCAGTACCACTGTATTAACAGTATGTGCTTTAAATCAACCGACACCATGCCATTTATTTATGAAGAAAGCTTAACTTCAGTTGACATCGTGCTTAAGAAAGTGATTGCAAAGCAGCTGTCAAGGTAAAAGTAAAGAACAAACATTGTTTGTTGAATTTTTCGGGGTCTGGTTTAAGACCGTCTTTGCTAAGTATGTGTCCGACATAGGTAACTTCCTCTTTTTTGGAATTTGCACTTTCCCGGATTAAGTTTCATTGTGGTAAACATTGTTTTTGAATTTTGCTCTAATCCATTGATTTGACAAGTTTAGCCTTAGGGGTTCCAAAACTGGTTATCCACAATATATAGTATGTGTGCGACATGTCGAGACCACACACAGCGACAAAACCTTAGTCTCAACTAACAATTAATGTACAAAATTGCAAATAAACAAATAGATGTTAAAAAATGTTTGCTTCTCGGATCTGATTCCATTAAATAGCCTTTACAGATAGTCAAATGGTCTTTTCTTCCAACACTCCATTAAAATGTCTGCTGCCCACATAGTTTGTAAAAATGAACAAGTGGGTAATAAAAATTCTGAATGGGAATAAAAACAAAAATGGTAGCTGGTAGCATTTCACAGCTAAAGATTTTAAAAAAGTGTGTTTTAGTGGATTGCTTTGAATGCACTTGTTCCTCAGTCGCAACAATTGGGATATTTCTTATGGTAAATCCCTGGTTAATGTTAGCATAAACATAACCTGGAAGTTTTCTTTCATTGATGTATTTTCCCAGAAATGACATGAATTTCAATTTATTGTAATTTATGCTTGCAGACACCCCATAGCTGTGTTCTTCCATGTGATGTTCCGGTCTGCGGCTGTTGTAGCTTATCTATTCTGTGGCTGGTTTAGCAGTAGCTTCATCACCAACTTTGTCCTAATTGTCATTCTTCTATCAATGGATTTCTGGACTGTCAAAAACATTACAGGTGGGCAATGTTTTCTCACGTATATCAATATATTTATAAAGGCAAATAAAGATACACCCAAGTTCTTTTAAAAGTTAATAATATGATTTTGTCTCAACAAAGATTAAAATTGAATGAGAACAAGGAAGCTGTATTAGATAAGTACTTGTAAGTCTATTGCCCTTTTACAGGAAGATTACTGGTGGGACTGAGATGGTGGAACTACGTAGACGATGATGGTGTTAGCCATTGGGTGTATGAATCCCGGAAGGTAGGTTCACTGTGCATGAGCCACACTGATTAAGCTACATGGCACGCAAGTTAAACAAGCCAATTGAGCAAAAGTCACACTCTGAGTTACATGAGTTAACTCCACACAAGTAAATTAAGTTACATGAAAAACACTGCACATGAGTTACAAGAGTCACTGTAGATAAGTCCCACTGTACACCAGTTACACAAGTCGTACTGAACACAACTCGTTTCACAAAAGTTGCCAGTCACACCAGTCCTACCCTGTTTAAGTTACACTGCACAAGTGACATGAATAACACTGCACAAGAGTCCAGTTTAAACCTGTTATGAGTCACATTTTAAACTTGATGCATGAGACACAGTTCATGAGTACAGGAGTCGCAATAATGATAAAAAAAAAATTGGCATTACGCACAGGTGACATCCCATCATCAAATAATGGATACATCAATTTTATTTCTTGTGTATTATTGTTGTACAGTAGCTTCCATTGCATGTAAGGTCCTACTAGAGTCAAGTTTTCATGTTAGACATGCAGAGATCTGAGGTTAAGATGAGGCTTTTTGTGTTGCAGGGAATTCACCAGAAGAAGATAACAGCCGCTGAATCCAGGATATTCTGGCTTTCACTGGTGGCTTGTCAAGTCATCTGGATAGTTTTCTTCTTTGGAACTTTATTTACTCTTAATTTTAAATGGTTTGTAAGTATCCTTAGACTGTGTATTCAAAGTACATAAATTTAGCTTATTTAAATGCGTTCTGATTTGCCATGTTTTCCAGTATTTTCCAGTAGGTTTCATATGAATTCATAATTCAGCTTATTTAACCTGTATATAAACTTCAATGTCTTCTGTTAATTCACAGCACATTATATTGGTGAGATTCAGAATAAGAGTCATCAGTTCGGTATGAATAATAAAGACTAAGTTTGTTTTGAACACAAACAGGAATTGAAAACTTATTTTGTGAGCTTTCGGAAACGTCTGTTTCCTTTGTCAAGCAAAGAGTGCAAATAAACCATGTTACTGTTTATTCACAGAAGATTATATTGGTGAGACTTTAACGGTGTTAGTGTTTACTCACAGATGGTGGTGTTAGTTGGGACAATAATGAATGGTGCTAACATGTATGGCTACGTTCGATGTAAATACGGATCAAAGAAGAAGCTGACGTCAGTCGCCAGTGGATTCCTCGGTAGACAGTTATGGAAATCAGTAAGTGCACTCATCACTTCTTGGCCGTCATATATACCATTCCATGTCAAAATCTACTCTGAAATGAAAGTACCCCTGGCCATGGTATATAAAATCTTCCAGAAATCTAATCTAAACTTGAAAATGTGCATATGCCCCGATTGATCACCATGCCAAAAGATAATTTTTATTTATAACTGATTACTATTCATTAAATTAATAGAAAAAGACTAAAAGATTGTGTCTCTCTAAACCTTCTGATTGTAATTATCTTTCTTTAAATGTAACAGGATCCTGGTCACAATATATTTTGCTAATAAAAATCAAGTTTTCAATACCATGTTTTAAATCAAAAGACTTATTAACCCTTAAATCTCTCTAACTTAATCTGATCATTTGGACTTGCAGATGACAACACCAGAGCCAGAGGAGCAAAGCCAAAAGTAATCTGTAGAAGATGACCTGTGTGTGTAAACTGACTGAAACAACAAATGGTCCTCGGAGTAGTGTACACGATATGCACCAGACTATATTAAGGATTGGTTGTCATATTTTTGACGTTTATTGGCGTGTAAACTACATGGGGCTTGCGATATATTTCATGGTGCGCGTTAGCAAATAATTTATTTTTTTTTTATTTAAATGCATATTCCGTCTTTGCGTATTTCAGAGTTATCTTCTCTTGGGAACAGGTATTGATTGTTATGTCACTTGTTTGTGAGAGTAACGTCATCAATTTTTGAGAAAAACACGTAGTTTTCTCACCCAAACCAATGACGTAACATTCAATCCCCGCTCCCAATAGAAGATAACTCTGCAATACGCAAAGACGGAATATGTCAATTACCAATTTGTATACTAACATGTGACCATTTTAATATATGTTGTGGTGATTTAGCGATTTAACTGTCATACAATAACATTTTAAGACACAACACAGCGGAACATCGCCACTTGGCGGTAATTAGGTCAGTGGATCACTACACTGACCTAATCACCGTTGTAGTTCATTGGAAAATATGTTACGATGGGACCAGTAGAGTTATCTAGGCACTATGCAGTGCAAATGTAAATATATATAAATGACAAGTTGACCTCCCAGTGTATCACATGATACTTGTTGGACTGGTGGAAAGATCTGACAATAATTATCACAAACATTTTATTTATTTGTCGGTTTTAATAGGTAACAATGAATAATTATTAATTATAGTGATATATTTAAATGTGTAAAAATTTGATAATATTGCACAAATTGCATCAGTATAATGTCTAAAGCAAAAGATGTGTGTATATTTTCTTCAAGTTTGAACAAGTGTTGTGATAGTGTATTGGCATAACTGTACATGGATGAAGATTTTCTCTCTATTCTCTGGTAACTGTAATCAGTGATCAGGGGGTGTCTCTACTCTCTGGTAACTAGTATCCATTAAAGGGGCATATCTGTGTACTTCAGTAAACTGTTACCCATTATGGGGGTTCTCTACATTTGGGTAACTGTAATCTATGATAGGGGTGTATCTCTACACTTAGGTAACTGTAATCTATGATAGGGGTGTGTCTCTATACTTAGGTAACTGTAATAATGATAGGGGTGTGTCTCTATACTTGGGTAACTGTAATCTATGATAGGGGTGTATCTCTATACTTTGGTAACCGTAATCTATGATAGGGGTGTGTCTTCATACTTTGGTAACTGTAATCTATGATAGGGGTGTGTCTTTATACTTGGGTAACTGTAATAATGATGGGGGGTGCCTCTTCATTTGGGTAACTGTAATCCATTATAGGGGTGTGTCTCCATACTTGGGTAACTGTAATCTATGATAGGGGTGTGTCTCTATACTTGGGTAACTGTAATCTATGATAGGGGTGTGTCTCTATACTTGGGTAACTGTTATCTATGATAGGGGCGTGTCTCTGTACTTGGGTAACTGTAATCTATGATAGGGGTGTGTCTTTATACTTGGGTAACTGTAATAATGATGGGGGGTGCCTCTTCATTTGGGTAACTGTAATCCATTATAGGGGTGTGTCTCCATACTTGGGTAACTGTAATCTATGATAGGGGTGTGTCTCTATACTTGGGTAACTGTAATAATGATGGGGGGTGCCTCTACATTTGGGTAACTGTAATCTATGATGGGGGCGTGTCTCTATACTTGGGTAACTGTAATCTATGATGGGGGCGTGCCTCTATACTTGGGTAACTGTAATCTATGATAGGGGTGTATCTCTATACTTGGGAAACTGTAATCTATGATGGGGGCGTGTCTCTATACTTGGGGAACTGTAATCTATGATAGGGGGGGATCTCTATACTTGGGGAACTGTAATCTATGATGGGGGCGTGCCTCTATACTTGGGTAACTGTAATCTATGATAGGGGTGTATCTCTATACTTGGGTAACTGTAATAATGATGGGTGTGTGACTCTACATTTGGGTAACTCACTGTAATAATGATAGGGGGGTGTTTCTATACTTGGGTAACTGTAATCTATGATGGGGGCGTGTCTCTATACTTGGGTAACTGTAATCCATTATAGGGGCGTGTCTCTATACTTGGGGAACTGTAATCTGTCATTGGGGTGTCTGTGCTCTAGTAGCTGAAATCCATTATGTCTTTTGTTATATTTAGTGGAATCTTGTTCATTCGCAATAAATTCATTAAAGTCAATATGTTCTAAAAGCATAAGCCAAAGGAATAATAATAGGCATGGCACTTATAATGCATTATGGCTTGGTTAAGTTCATGTATAATAGAATGAACCTTTTATTTCTATGTATTGATCTCAAATCATTCCATATTTACTCCAGGAAACCAAAAATTGGAACAGCTATTGCAATTGGGTACAATGTTTAAAATTGGGTCCAGTGGTTAGAGGCTTTTTTAGAGACCTGCTCTGCAATCAGTACTGTGGTGTAGTCGGTTTCAAAAATCAGCTGTACCAATTGCGAAACAGGCCTCTTTGATCATTTATATTCACAAAAAGCATCGCCCCAGTACCAAATTGCACCCGCCGTCAGATTTGGGTTCACCAGTAAATATTTATATATCAAAACTGCATTATTTCCAGATTTTTTCTTTGTGCTCACCTGATTCAGATATCAGTGGTATGTGTATCCACTTTGAAACTTTTGTGGTGGGTGTATGTTTGTTGCGTGTACAAGTTTTGTGGTGAGTTGCCTTTGAGAGATTTGTCGTAGACGTATGTTTGTGTTGCGGTATACCAAGAAATGTTTCGCTGCAGTTAAAGCTTTATGACAACAGAGAAAATCAGTACACAGTTTACCATACAATTGAATGGTGAAATTACCACTGGGTGAATATCAATTTTCTGGTCGTTAGAAACTCTTAACAAGGCAAACCTTTCCCCAGGTATGCAGTGCTTGAATGAGAATTGTGGTAGGTGAGTGAGTGCATTACTATGATGAGATTACTGGTAAAGGGTGTGTTACTCTTGGAGGATATTTCAGAAAAGAAAATATAACAATACCAAAACTGAATTTGTTGTTAAATTTTGTTTTTATTTCATACTGTTGTTGTTATTGTTAATATGATAAAAAAAAACTAACAAGAGTACTGCAATGCGGAATACCCATCCCATGCCAATCATGATATACATGTACTATAAATACTTCTGATATTTGGTGAAACTATGGCCAAACAATGTTCAAATTAATTAATGTTACGGTTAAAGTTGTAAGTACATTATCTACACTTCATTTATAACATATTTTTTCATTGGCTGTGTGTCCTACATTGCCATGTTCCAACTGCATTATGTAGTACAACTTTCACCCTCTACCACTGGTCAACTTAATTTTCTTCTGGTAGTTTTCCAATTGATGGGCTTCCTTGTGTACTTTAGTTTTAATTAACCATTGTTTATAAAACACATTGAGATCTTGTAAGTCCTTCTCCAATCTTCTTGTTTTGCTGTTTTTGGTGTTTTTGCGCTGTAACAGAAATTAAGATCCTCCATTAAAATGTGTGTTACAATGAAAAACACATCAACAAGGTGGACACACAGATAATAGAAAGGTTTTGGCATCACCAAAATTTGGCATTTTTGCAAAAAATGGAAGGCTAAATCGCTTCATGATTAGGAAGAGCATTTGTTGTACTGGTTGACTTAATTAACCTGAAAATTCCAGGATTCCTATGTACAGATATATGACCTAAATTCTCTGACATCCTGTAATAGCATTGTCTATCTCTGACATCCTGTAATAGCATTGTCTACTCTGACATCCTGTAATAGCATTGTCTATCTCTGACATCCTGTAATAGCATTGTCTATCTCTGACATCCTGTAATCACAGCCTATCTCCATCAAACCTGTAATGGCACTGTCTATCTCTGTAAATCAATGTAAGAAAGCACACCATAGCATCAATTGTACTCACACCGTACTTCCTGTACACTCGTTGCCTTTTTTTACTGCAGCCTGCAGCTTTAATAATAGCAACTAGAACTCTTGTAGTTACTAGTGTGGACATGCTTATACGGTGGAGTGTGTGACAATAATTACCCTTATAAGGGCAGACAAAAACAGCAGCTTAATAATACAGGAGGAAAATGTGTTACTTTGTGCAGCAGAACTTTCTGCTATAGTAAAACATAACGTTACATTTTGCATTTTCGGTGAATTAATAGTAAAAGTCAAATGAAAAAAGATCATAGGTGACATGATATATAGGACCTAACATTTGACCAAAAAAAAATGTTCACTTCGTTTTTGTGGTTGAAAAGTGTGTCATATCTATCACTGATGATAAGTAATACTAATACTTATATGATGTGCAAAAGGTTGCTAGTGGCGCTTACTGCTCATTTCATCTCAAAACATACCATTGTTTTCAGTAAATAATCACCATAATGTAATGAAAGTTTGTCATTAGATGGAGAATGGTATTCTTTTTTTCCAGAATTTGAAATAAGATCTTTTGGTAGCGTTACATGTTACATGTCATATGGTGAGTGACACACTATATAGCTACATCCCATCAAGTCACATAGTCCTTGGTCACTCAATCAGTCTGACACCCCTAAGTCAACCATTTTAAAAGCAAATTTTCACTCACCTGTTCTAGTAATATTTGCTCCCTTAGCTTTTGTAAATGCCTTTCAATTATTTGCAAGAAATAAATGTCTGGTTTTATATTCATTGATTCCATTTTCCTGAGTAAGTGCTTTTTATATGTAAAATGTCCTGCACCTTTGCCGATAAGGATACCAAAAGTTTTGATATCTGGAACCAACCCAACATTCTGTAAACAAACAAGTGTATAATGGAACATCAAAACAAATATGGCATTATACAATTATTCAAGTAATATGTTGTACAAAATTAATCCTTGTTTATAATCAAGTTTGACAGAGCGACACTTATCCCCCACTCATTATTTTATAACAAGGTATCACTGAGCAACACTAATCCCCCACTCATTATTACAAAACAATTTATCGCTGAGCTACACTAATTCCCCACCAATTATTTTATAACAAGGTATCACAGAGCTACACTAATCCCCCACCACTTATTTTATAACAAAGTGTCACAGAACTACACTAATCCCCAACCACTTATTTTATAACAAGGTATCACTGAGCTACACTAATCTCCCTTCAATTATTTTATAACAAGGTATCACTGAGCAACACTAATTCCCCATCAATTAATTTATAACAAGGTACCACAGAGCTACAACTCACCAAATATTTTATAACAAGGTATCACAGAGCTACACTCATTCCCCACCAAATATTTTATAACAAGGTATCACAGAGCTACACTCATTCCCCACCAAATATTTTATAACAAGGGATCACAGAGCTACACTCATTCCCCACCAAATATTTGATAACAAGGTATCACTGAGCTACACTATTTCCCACCAAATATTTTATAACAAGGTATCACTGAGCTACACTAATTCCCCACCAATTATTTTATAACAAGGTGTCACAGAACTACACTAATCCCCAACCACTTATTTTATAACAAGGTATCACTGAGCTACTCATTCCCAACCAAATATTTTATAACAAGGTATCACTGAGCTACACTAATTCCCCACCAAATATTTTATAACAAGGTATCACTGAGCAACACTTATTCCCCACCGATTATTTTATAACAAGTTATCACAGAGCTACACCCAATATGATTTTATAACAATGTACCACAGAGCTACAACTCACCAATGATTTTATAATAAGGTATCACTGAGCTATACTAATTCCCCACCAAATATTTTATAACAAGGTATCTCTGAGCTATACTTATTCCCCACCAAATATTTTATAACAAGGTATCACTGAGCTACACTAATTCCCCACCAAATATTTTTTAACAAGGTATCACTGAGCTACTATAATCCCCCATCAATTAGTTTATAACAAGTTATCACAGAGCTACACCCAACCTATGATTTTATAACAATGTACCACAGAGCTACAACTCACCAATGATTTTATAACAAGGTATCACTGAGCTACACTTATTGCCCACCAAATATTTTATAACAAGGTATCACTGAGCAACACTAATTCCCCACCAAATATTTTATAACAAGGTATCACTGAGCTACACTAATCCCCCATCAATTAGTTTATAACAAGTTATCACAGAGCTACACCCAACCTATGATTTTATAAAAATGTACCACAGAGCTACAACTCACCAATGATTTTATAATAAGGGATCACTGAGCTACACTAATTCCCCACCAAATATTTTTATAACAAGGTACCACTGAGCTACACTAATTCTCCACCAAATATTATATAACAAGGAATCACTGAGCTACACTAATCCCCCATCAATTAGTTTATAACAAGTTATCACAGAGCTACACTAATTCCCCACCAATTATTATATAACAAGGTATCACTGAGCAACACTAATTCCCCACCAAATATTTTTATAACAAGGTACCACTGAGCTACACTAATTCCCCACCAAATATTTAATAAAAAGGAATAATTGAGAAACACAAATTCCCCACCGATTATTTTATAACAAGGTATCACTGAGCTACTCATTACCAACCAAATATTTTATAACAAGGCATCACTGAGCTACACTAATTCCCCACCAATTATTATATAACAAGGTATCACTGAGCTACACTGATCCCCCATCAATTAGTTTATAACAAGTTATCACAGAGCTACACTAATTCCCCACCAAATATTTTATAACACGGTATCACTGAGCTACACTAATTCCCCACCAATTATTATATAACAAGGTATCACTGAGCAACACTAATTCCCCACCAAATATTTTATAACAAGGTATCACTGAGAAACACTAATTCCCCACTGATTATTTTATAACAAGGTATCACTGAGCTACACTGATCCCCCATCAATTAGTTTATAACAAGTTATCACAGAGCTACACCCCACCCATGATTTTATAACAAGGTATCACAGAGCTACTTAAAATGGAAGCTCAAACAAGATATACGTTGGATTGGAGGAAGTTGATTAATCGTTTGATTGGACAAATTTGATCAATATGGCTTTTTTCTTTAAATAAAAATATTCTATGAAACAGACATGTTTAAAAGTACATGATGAGAATTACCTCCATGGAATCAAGTATCTCCTTCGCCTCATCAGTGTGCCTCGTACAGAACATCAGACTTCCATATGTCTGCTTGTTGGGAACAACATTATATTTGGTAAACAGTTGCAAAACAGCCTGAAAAACAAGATATGAGTTGAATTAATTTTTTCATCTAACAACATTTAAGCAAGTTTTTCTGTCAATTACCTTGTTCATAATTATTAATAACCTTTTTTAGTCATACATGACCTTGTTCACTGACATTTACCTTCAGTTTGAAAAGTATGACATACCGGTATGGTCTATTTATTCATGATAGAGCCGTACCTGAGGCTTTAGCTCCATATAAAGGCAGGTGTCTAATGTGTGTAGTCCTTACACAGCTATACATATACCACAGATCAGTAAACAATGATAGAATGTTCAAAATACCATCACTTGTGAACAGTAGTCATTATTATTGGACTGATGATCCTGATCAATATGGCTTAATACCTGGATATACATTTGTATATCTCAAATGAATGAAATTCACAAACTTATAATACATTAGAAATTAAATAATTTAGAAATACAAAGATGCCTGCTCTTTTTATTCTATGTTACATAGATAAAATCTGTTCATACAAAATTTGTATTATTTATTATTATATGGCACACTTCTTACTGAATGTTCATTAAAACTATACTTGAAGGTTTATTTTTCTTCTTTTTGTTAATGAAACATTGTCAAAAAACTTTTCTACTAAATGGTACCCGTAAGAACAATGTTGTGTTTTCTATGGTTTCCATTTTTGTTGGCCAATAAACATCGGTACAAAACTTTGGGATTTTGATACGTCAACATGATTCATCCCTGATTATGCAAACAGTATGATATCGGCAAGACCTGAGAAATTTCCGACTGGAAAACATTAATATGTTAACAGTAGAGGGTTGTTCAACTGAAATGTAAATATCAATGATGCATATAGATGCCGCTGTAAAGTTACATACATAAAAGCAGTTACAATGCTTAAGCACAAAACAAAGGCAATCACGAGGAAATAAGTACCTTTGCATCATCATAAGACTCCTGATGTGCTTTAGTGCGCATAAGTGCATTAAGAAATGTGGAGTCTGCTTTTATTTTTCCTTCTTCGAGTGCAGACAGAATGATTTCTTCATCTTCCTTTCCTCTTGTCATCTGTACCAACCAAGTCAATACACTGATATCTGGACTAACTTCGTCAGCCTTCATCCTCCGTAGAAACCCTTTTATACCACCCATTAACAAGAGTCTATCTTTACCTTCCGACATATTACCAAGCGAAACTACTTCTGAAAAAGACTCCACTGGGTCTAACAGATCGGGGAATTTAGCTACTGTCATAGACGACAGGGACGTGTCGACTTGCTCCTCTGACAATAGAGACACCGCAGTATCATCAGCAACATGTTCTGTATGTAGCTCCAACTTGGATTCTTCTGCTTGTTTTTGTCTGAAACAAATGTTACCTTATCAAAAGTCCTGAAATCTGATGGTACAAGCACCAATGTTTGTTAATACTTAATCAGATAGACCCATACTTCTACTTATCCAATGTGTAGGTAAAGACAACTAATAGGGATGACAAAAACATGTAAACAAATGGAATCCTTACCTAGAATTATCAGCCTAATATTAACGTTTGAACCCTCAGGAAACTCACATGGACTTAGTCCATAACTGATCTTAATACAAAAACTTTACCAACTTGAAGTACAAACAGTCAATGGTAATACTATATACCCCACAACACTCTAGACAGCACATTAAATTTGCTGCTTACTTCCTTTGCTCAAGTGTTTTAGGAGACTTTTTATATTTCACTCCCTCTCCTTTCAGATCACCATAACATTTCTGTGGGGGATGTTCAGGGTGTTGTTGACTACTCTGATGTGCTGTAATTTCAGTCGTTGCTCCTATTCTGTAGAAATGAAAGATGATAGTAATAATGAGATGTTAAAGAGGTTCCTTTGGAAACTATTAAAATCTGTTGAGAGCCAAATTAACTAGAGTAACACTATATATCAACTAGAACTGTAAGCCAAAGGCTAACTAATACCCCCGCTGCTATATAAACTAGAACTGTAAGTTAAAGGCTTACTAAGGCCAAGCATTGCAAAGCAATCCAGTCTCCCACCAGTAACAAGTATTTCGCACAAAGGGCCATACCTCCATCAAAAAGGGTCGAAAACCCAAATTAAAATGAGGGTAAAAACTACATAAGATACCGATCATTCATGCAAAGTTAAATGAAATCCACCTGTTAGTTAAGGAGGTATTGTGCGGACAAGTATTTTGCACAAAGGGGCATAACTCCACCAAAAAGGTTGAAATCCCAAATTAAGATGCCGGTGTACAAATGCATAAAATACTGATCATTCATGCAAAGTTTCACTGAAATCCACCTGTTAGATAAGGAGGAGTTTCGCGGACAATTATTTCGCACAAAGGGGCATTACTCCATCAAAAAGGGTTGAAATCCCAAATAAAATGCCGGTGCACAACAACATAAGATACCGATCATTCATGCAAAGTTTCAATGAAATCCAACAGTGAGTTAAGGAGGAGTTGCACGGACAAGTATTTCGCACAAAGGGGCATAACTCCACCAAAAAGGGTTGAAATCCCAAATTAAATGCCGGTGCACAACTACATAAGATACTGACCATTCATGCAAAGTTTCAATGAAATCCACCTGTTAATTAAGGAGGAGTTTTCCGGACAAGTATTTAGCAAAAAGGGGCATAACTCCATCAAAAATCGTTGAAATCCCAAATTAAAATGCCGGTGCACAACTACATAAGATACTGACCATTCATGCAAAGTTTCAATGAAATCCACCTGTTAATTAAGGAGGAGTTTTCCGGACAAGTTATTGTGGACGACAGACAGACAGACAGACAGGGTGATTCCAGTATATCCCCCCCTAACTTCGTTGCGGGGGTATAATTAAAGTAACACCAATAGCAGGAGTTAATACTACAATTTACTAAAGAGTTCACATCTGCTGTCTTTCAGTAGTAATTTTAGTTATTTGTGTCTCTACGTCTGTTGGTTACTGTTGGAGGGGCGGGGGTGTGTCTCTCTGTTTGTAAAGTAAATCACTGCTTACTGTATTTGTTCGAGTGTTTCAGGTTACCTTAATGGCTGCACTCCCTCTCCTTCCAGATCACCATAACATTTCTGTGGGGGATGTTCAGGATGTTGTTGACTACTCTGATGTGGTGTAATTTCAGTTACTGCTCCTATTCTGTAGAAATGAAAGATGATCAGATAATGAGATGTTAAAGAGTTTCCTTGGGAAAAAAATTAAATCAATTGAGGATTAAATTATCAACTAGAGTTAAGACATGTATTTATGTATCAGAGTAATTTTGAGATTGTGAACTAAAAGTTCAACCAATCTTCACAATTTTATCTAATTTTGTTAAATTTGGTTGGAACATCATTCATACCAAACCTATCTATCCATGTGACATATATTAATTCCAGTCCTCCAAGTAATCCAAGTATGCGATGGATAAACCATAAAGGTAACCTTTAAGGTTTCATTAAAATCTGTTCAGGAATACAACCTCTAGAGTAAAAACGAATGTGACAATGAAATTCTATTTTTAGTAACAGAGATCTTGCCCTTGGACTGATTACAACGATATAAAGACTTGTTCAAGGCATGTTGAAAGTAAACAAACCTATAAAGTTTCATCAAAATGTCAAGAAATATGGCCAGTTGAGTGATGACAAGGAATGTGTTGGTGACATTTTGGTAACAGGGACGTTGATTTTTGACCGATTACTCCCATATTTGAATTTGTTTTAAAAATGGTATTTTGAAGATTGGGAGTTTGGGAGATGTATTTTAATACCAAAGTCATTTAGGATGGAGAAAATGGGACTGTAGAATGTATTGTTTAACACCTCGGTGTGACCTTGAGGTTTTTGTAAGACGTACCAAATATATTTACATTTTGGCCTGGAGTTGTTTACATGACACACACAACTGTAGTTCTACTATCTGTGTGGCCTGGAGTTGTTTACATGACACACACAACGGTAGATCGAGTTGTTTACATGACACACACAACTGTAGATCCGCTGTCTGTTTGGCCTGGAGTTGTTTACATGACACACACAACTGTAGTTCTACTGTCTGTGTGGCCTGGAGTTGATTACATGACACACACAACTGTAGATCTACTGTCTGTTTGGCCTGAAGTTGTTTACATGACACACACAACTGTAGTTTTACTGTCTGTGTGGCCTGGAGTTGATTACATGACACACACAACTGTAGTTCTACTGGTTGTGTGGCCTGGAGTTGTTTACATGACACACACAACTTTAGTTCTACTGTCTGTTTGGCCTGGAGTTGTTAACATGACACACACAACTGTAGTTCTACTGTCTCTTTGGCCTGGAGTTGTTTACATGACACACCCAACTGTAGTTCTACTGTCTGTGTGGCCTGGAGTTGTTTGCATGACACACACAACTGTAGTTCTACTGTCTGTTTGGCCTGGAGTTGTTTGTATGACACACTCAACTGTAGTTCTACTGTTTGTTTGTCCTGGAGTTGTTTTCATGACACACACAACTGTAGTTCTACTGTTTGTGTGGCCTGGAGTTGTTTGCATGACACACACAACTGTAGTTCTACTGTCTCTTTGGTCTGGAGTTGTTCACGTGACACACACAACTGGAGTTCTAATGTCTCTTTGGCCCGGAGTTGTTTACATGACACACACAACTGTAGTTCTACTGTCTGT